AACGATACTTTTCGACAGAACGTGATTTGATGCTATGTGTTTTCGACTATTTGTGTTTTCGACGCTACATGATTCGACGCTACGTGTTGTAGATGATACGAGATTCGTTCGTACGCATACGACTCATTTCGAGAGACTGCGCGAATGCGTTTCGGGCATCGACTGGGAGGTGCGGTTCCATCCGGATGGCACCGCACCTCCCAGTCGATGCCCGAAACGCATTCGCGCAGTCTCTCGAAATTAGCCCTCTTATAGTTTTACGAAACAGTCGTCCGCTTGATATTTCAACTCTTCAATTAACCTACGGACATCTGTGATCATGGAGGTCCGTCAGTGCATTTTCTTCGGATTCCTTCTGTCCATCCCTCTCTCTTCCTTCGGCCTCTCTTCATTGCACAAAGGAAATATCGGCCAGAATGGACTGTACGATGAGAACGATCCTCTCACCATATTTACTACTGTGAACTTGAGTGATTCTCTTGGTGCCAGCAGTACGGCTTGGATCATTCAATTCTACAATACATGGTGTGGACATTGCCAAGCCTTTGCATCCATTTGGAAGCAATTTGCCAATGAAGTCCAGTGTGAGTTGAGAGTGCTATTTGCTTCAAGAAAGATCGACTTCTTAACCAAACCTTTATGCTATGATAGCCTAGATTCTAGTCATGGAACTTGAGGCATAGGCCAAGTCTCAGGTGCAGACAGTCAAGAACTGATTTGCAGACTGTCCTAGGCGCTTGCTAGCATGGCCTTACAACAGAGCTGCATGAAGAGTTGCATCTATGTGAATTTAAATGCCAAGAAGCACATTTCAGTAACTTAATTTATCATATTGTAAATGAGGAAAATATTTATAGGTGGCCTTTCAGAAAACCCAATGAAGAATTTTGCATTTCTTCTAGAAGATGTGGATGTTTTGAGAATGAGAACCAAGGGTACTTCTCAAGATTTTCTCAATTTCTTTCTGTAAGAAAATTATTTTGAGAACTCGCATTTGAAAAGCAGGTGTGATCAGGTTGGTATCCTAGTTGGTGGTGAAGGGATGCCTTGTTTTAGTTTTCAAGGCTTGTATTGGTAAGTGCAATGAGAAATGCCCAGTGGGCATTCCACATTGCATTTTTACATGTAAGGGATACATTAAATATAAAAAGCAAACAGTTGCAATTTCAAGTATTCTATCCCAAAAGTAATTGATGACAAGTAGAATAGCTCCTGACTGAGAGTAGCTATTCTATGTCTCAAAATAAAAGGGTTCCAGTTTATTTTTTTTAGAACATCTCCATTTGATATTGTGGAAGCCTCATGTTTTTCTGCACATGACATCTCAGATAATTAAGGGCAACATGGGCAACAAGAGGGCAAACCCCTTGTAAAAGAAACTGACACCCTTATCTGGCAAAAAGCATTGGCACAAATTGCTTGTTCTTGACTGATTTTCAATACTTCAACCTTGAAAAGTTATTTTATTTTATGCACCTTTTAACTTGCAGAATTTTTCCTTGTTCATCTGAGAAGTCATTTGCAGAAAAAACAATAGGGTCTCATGATATTGGGTGGAGACATGATAAAAATAGAAAAGAACTGGTTTCTTTTTCCTTTGAGACACTGTAGTAATTGAAAATCATATTGGCAGCTTTAATTTGAGGAAGTGCAGTTGCTGAAATAGATGCCAACTTGTATCTTTTCCAGAACACACCTGCACTTGGCATTTCATCATCTTTAAAATAAATGAAACTTTTAACCCTTTCCTCTTGGTTTTTTCTGCAACACTAAAACCAATGGTGAGCCAAGCTCAATGAATGAGTAGAAACAAGTAGAACTACTTTGGATTGGCTTGTTTCTATTTTTTAGGCCTGTTAATCTAATGATGAGTACTTTTGATAGGAGCATCATGATCTATGGCCTAGTTATTCCTGCCTATAGTGCTTCCTTTTTTTTTTTAAATGAAGATAGCAATATTTATTCTTCAGGTTCAAAGCATTTTAAAGCTATTCACTGAAGGGACAGCCACTGTACACCTCCCTTGTTAGCCTCTCTCCAGCAAATGTATTCTAGATATGTCTAGACTGCACATTACACAAGATTTGACAGATATGCCCTCATGCTTTGTGCAAGGGATTTCAGGGAAAGGTGGCATATAAGTTAAAAGTGATTACACATGTGTGCTAGTTATTTCTTTTTCTGGTATGATATTAAGAATGTCAATTCTACAGGGTGGCTGCAAAAGTCCCTTTGTATGAAAAAAAAAAGGGATAACATACCTCTATTCTAATAGCTGTGTGTGTTGCCCTCCCTTCTCAGCACACAGCTGGATTCATGCCCAAGTTCTTCTTGACTTATTTTCCTAAGTGGAAAGCTGCATACTGTAAAAGCAGTTCTGGACAGCTGTATTGAGTTCCTCAATATTTGTCAGTCTTAAGTGTGAAGTATTCTCCTTGATAATTCCCCTTGAAAGTCTGGTTTCTATTTCATCTTAACTCGTCTGGTCTCTTTCACGATCATGGACTCACAAACTTGCTACTAGTCACTCCTCTATCGTAAACTCACTAATGTCTGCCATGTTGAATCCCCACCTGGAAATACAGTTTAAAAAAATAATAATTAGTATTTCATGCTAAGGGACTTTGTGGCCACCCTGTACATAGTTCCCACCCATGCATGTATGGAATAAAGGGAGGTCATGAATGCCAAGTAACAGGTTGTCCTTATAGATTTTCAGTCAAATATGGTAATAAGAAAGTCAACTATTTCTGTGCTGCATGGGAACATCAAAAACAACACCAAGGAAAGTCAAATGTGTAGCTTTGGTGGATGTTGGATTTTATGGAAATGCATGGTCAATATGAAAATCAAATGAGGCATCCTGTTTCATGGCAACATGGCTGTTCACATCTTGTTTGGCACCATTCCAAAAATCAACCCTGATGATAACAGTGTACAATTATTGGGTTATTTTTTTGCTAGCAATAACTTTCATTCTGTATGAGCTGGAATGAAACATTCCTGGTACAATAAATGCAGTAGTGATGTCACATACAAATGCATAGGTGGATTTGCACATGGAGCTATGTATAACAGAGATGCAACGAGAGGGTATCTCTCACCTGGCTCAACCAGGGGACATTATGCTTGGTCCACACAACTGTTGCATTTGACTTTCCAAGTCTTGCTCTTGATGCTCTCCTATAGCAGTGATACATTTGACTTTCTTATTGCCACATTTGACTCAGAAAACCTATATATGCCATATGCTGCTGGCTGAAACCAAGTGAAAAGCCTTTGCAAATGGAAAATCATTCTTTTTTAATAATAAAAAAAGATTGATGCATATAGCTGTACTTCTAACTCATTCACTTTTGGCTAGTACTTGTATGTTTTTTCTTTCAGCCTGGCACAAATTCATCCGTGTGGGTGTTGTAGACTGTGCTAATGAGGTGAATCTACATCTCTGCAGGGAGTTTGATGTTAAGCTTTATCCCACCATCAAAATGTTTCCACCAAGACTGCAAGGAACCCAAGGAACCATAGTATTGGATAAGACTCCTGAATCTATGAAGGCAGAAGTAATCAATTTTGTGACTCAACTTCAACAATCACAGCAACTTTTTAATTCAATGCATCTAGTAGCTTACATGTAAGTTTTATCTTCACACATTTCCTTTTTCCATCCAAAGAAGTCTTTCATTTAGCCTAAATTTATGTATAAGACTGAGTTTAGGGCAGGGTAAGTGGAGCTTTTGCCCTAGGACCCTGCAAGAATGCAGTGTTGTCATGAGCCATTTTTATCCATGTCCATCTGCTTAGTGATATCCTGCAATCACTGCCCATCCCACCTTAGGGGGAAGAAAAAGGATATGGATATGGCATATGGATAGATGCCCTTAGGCAAAGTATGTGGAGTAGACCATGAAGGCTGAAAGAGCTGCAGTCCAGAAGGAAACATGTTGGCAGGAGCCCTTGATGTAGTGCCATTTATTTGTTAAGCAAGGCTGCAGTTTTGGATAAGTCCTTTTTTTGCAGCATGCAAAGTTTATTATCTTGTTTGAATTTACAAGGATCAAGTTTGTCTGGGAGAGTGATTATATTACCCCTACCCTGCTTGCTCCTCTATATTTTTCTCATTGTTCCTCCATCATTTACAAGGGGTGTTTTGAAAGTTATGGGAATTTTGTTCTATCACTGCAATGGCTGATCAAAGCCTACCTCAAAGTTGGTCACACATGCTTAGACTTGTCATATTCACAACTGCAAAATATTATTCACTGGGCTTGCATCAGTAAGATATTGTCAGTGTTCGTGTAGTGTACACTTTGTTAGTCATGGAAGATGCAGTAAAATCTCAAAGGGCCATCATTTTCTTTTTATGGAAGGAAGGTGTTAGGATGTCTGAAATTATTCAATGTTTGAAATCTGTTTTCGGTGAATCTTCTGAAACTAAAAGTACTGTCTATCACTGGATTGGTCGCTTTAAGTACAGAAGAACAAGCCTTGAAGATGACCCCTGCAGCGGTTGACCAAGTACTGCTGTTAATGAAGAAAATGTTGATGCTGTGGAGAAAATGTTAATAGAAGACATATGAATCACCATTCGCAAGATTGCAGCAAGTGTATGCATCAGTTCCAGAAAAGTTCATGAAATTTTACACAACTGTATTGTAGTGAATCGGGTTTCTGCATGTTAGGTACCATGGCTGTTGGGGCCACAACAGAAACTCAATTGTGTGGAGGTTTGTTCCGAGATGTTGGCTCTACAGGAACAATATGGGGATAATTTTCTGGGAATGAATCATTATGACATATGAGACCTGGATACCTTACTCTAATCCACAAAAATTCAATCCATCGAAAGGGAGCGACCTTCTGATGGCCCTCTGCTTAAAGCAAGAACTATGCCATCAGTTGGTAAGATTATGGTAATGGTGTTTTGGGATTCTCAGGGAATAATCATGATTGATTATTTACGAAAAGGTTCCACAATAAATGCACAATATTCTGATTTGCTGAAGGGACCACTGCAAGAAGTACAAAAAAAAACGGCCAGGAAAGCTCCATTTATGACTGCAGCAAGACAATGGGAGGCTGCACACTGCTTGTCTTATGAAGGCAGTTTTGTCAGATCTGCATTGGGAATTACGGCAACACCCACCCTATTCTCCAGACCTGGCCCCAAGCGACTATCATCTGTTTGGGGAAATGAAGAAACTTCTTTGAGGAATCCATTTTGAGTCTCTATCTGAAGTTAAAGCAGCGATAAATGAGTGGATAGAACATACTCCACAAAAGTCCTTTGAAGATGGACTAAAAAAAATTACTCACTGGCACAAATGTATGCAGCTAAATTGTGATTATGTTGAAAAATTGCACTGTAATATCGAAGAAAATTAGCCTAATAAAAAATTAGCATGCAAATTCCCAGAACTTATCAATTATCTCATGTTCACTTAAAGTATAGCATACCAGAAGGTTGGCTTAAGAGAAAGCAATAAAAATCTATGTTATTCATATTTGAATTCCACCCTTTCTGTTTCAGGGGACCAACTCTCCCTGCAGTGAGGCAAAATGCAGTTCTCATTGTTGATAGTGAAAGTGAACTTGGACTCTTTCCCCGTCAGATATTGCTAGCACTGTCTTCCTATGAAGTTATAGATGGCTATTGGACCACCATAAGAAATGTGGCTCTCATGGAAGTGCTTGGATCACCAACACAACTCCCAGGTGTTTTTATAAGAGATGAGAGCCAGAATTGGAAGCAACTCAAACTGACATCTCTCTCCCTACAAGAAGTCATCAAGTCTATTTTGGCAAGTAACTTGACAACCTCCAAAATTGGAGATATGGCCAGCAATAGTTTCCCATCAAAGATTATGGCAGTGCATATGGTGGATATGGAAAATGGTATTAGTTATGCCCTTCGCCATGAAGCATCTAGTCACAAAGTTATATCTGCAGATGACCTGTTGAGTTTGGAAGTCTTTGTGAGAACTTTAGGTAGGTACTTCCCTGGCAGAAAAGAAGTGAGGCAGTATCTATCAGAACTAGGTGAATGGATACAGAAACATGATGATGCACTTGATGGAGAAACTCTGGAATCCTATTTGGCTGAGAAGCAGCACGCTGATACCTTTCTCCCATATCACACAGACTATAAAGCCTGCAAAGGAAGTATGCCACGATATCGTGGATATCCTTGTAGTCTGTGGACACTCTTTCATACACTGACAGTGTCAGCTACGGTAAATGATACTGGGGGCAATGGGAAAGAGGTGTTGGGAGCCATACTAGGCTACATCAAGCATTTCTTCAGCTGTAGAGAGTGCTCTGAGAACTTTCAGAAAATGGCACAGGAGTCATTACATATGGTTTCAAGTGGAGATGAAGGTGTAATCTGGCTCTGGAGAGCCCATAATGTAGCCAATAAATGGCTCAGCGGTGCAGTGAGTGAGGATCCTCAGCACCCCAAAGTACAGTTCCCACCAAAGACCATCTGCCCTGAGTGCTACACTCCCAATGGTATGTGGGATGAGGGGCATGTCCTCACTTTTCTCAAGCATTTCTATGGACCTGAAAGTATCGCTCATGATGGTCTGCAACAGTTCAATGGAAAATTAGAACAGAGGCAAAATAATGCAAGCAACTTCGTATCAAAACCTGTATTTACCTCCCTTTCCTTGTTTGGTTCTTTTTTTCTTTTTATGAGCATAAAACTCGGTGCCGGTATAGCATGCCCTCTACCATAAGGTGTGATCTACCTCTGGGGCAAGCAAGCACTCGCTTGCCTGGGAGGTAGATCACAAAACCCTCCTAGGGGGAAGATAAGGGCAAGAAAAGCTAAGGAGCTGAAGGGCAAGCAGTTGTGTTAGGGACATTAGTCTCACTGCATCGTGCTTCTACGTGACTTTACAATCGTGTTGTTTCTTCTGAGGAAACCTGTGTGGCATTCCTTCAGAACCATAGTTTGTTGAGTGACATTTAAAGCGATCCACAGCTGTTTCACAAATGCAGTGGCAACATGCAGCAAAAGACAAGAAAGTATCGACTTACCCCATTTTGAGGAAAAGATGCCAGACAACGAGAAGCATCTGGACGGGGAATAATTTATTCATGTTCGCAGACTTAAACAACAGGATGCGATGTAATCTCACACTGTGCAAGATTTGGAGATCATATTTCTTTGGGTGATTGAGATGCCTGCATCCGTGATCGCTAACACCACAGGCAAGTCAAAGAGTAGAATTATGGACTGGATGAATGTCGTGAAGTGTGCTCTGCCATTGTCGTAGTACAGTTGAAAGGGCAGATGGTGGGCACTGTGTCAGCTCCCATCCATATAGATGATGTGAGGTTCACTGGGAGAAAGAAATATATTTGTGGGCACATGTTGGATGGAGATGAACCACCAGAAGAGGAGGATGACAATGTCAACAAACACAAACGCTACCATGGTCGGATGGTTGATGTCCCTGGGTGTTCGTATTGAAAAAAGGATTGGATATGAGGATCTTCCTAGTGGAGAAACAAAATGTTGAGACCCTCATCCCCATAATACAGCGTGAAGTTACTCCTGGATCATGCATGATTTCAGTTGATGTTATGGAGTATGGATATTATTGCATCTGCCACTTCATCATTGCTCTGAGATTTGAGGGAACTCTACCGTTAGATTAACATCTTCAGCACTCAGACATGAACCTGAAGGAATTCCTTGAACTCGGAGAAGAGGAAGAAGTTCCTTGGTGACAAGACGTATGTGGTGGATGTGCAAGGATTTCCAAGTTTCATCCCACACAGTACAGAGGCATCCTAAAGACATGTTCAAAAACTTCTTAATATCCTCACAATCCTTTACGAGGTCTCATAACACCCTTGGGACATGTTGTTCAGTTGGGAACATTGATGGGTCTCTGTGCTGTGTGAGGCTTAACCCATAACCTGTGTACAAATGAGGTGTACTCGCATGCATGGAACTGTAATTGAGCAAGATTCGAACTACAGAATAAATGTTGCAAAACATTGGCAGAGAAAGTCCTTGTCTGAGCGGTAAGGACGTTTTGCCTGTGAGGACCCATCTGGGCTATCTGGACCCACCAAATCCCGTTTCATGTGTGTCGCCGTGATCCAGTCAGAAGGATGAGAAGGTGAAATGGGGGGGGGGGGGGGGGGGGGGATAGNGGGGGGGGGGGGGGGGGGGGGGGGGGGGGGGGGGGGGGGGGGGGGGGGGGGGGTGCTATAACTGGCAATTGTAGTGTTCTAATAGTTCCCGTAACTTAGGGCTATCTCTGCAGACGGACTACCAAATGGCAGCGGAGAAGTCTGTTGTCGATGACTCCGACATAGGGTGTCCCTCGCGAAGGTGTATGCGTTAGTACACGATTGACGCCCATTAATGCATTTTTTAAATTTAATATACAGTGTTTCCTGGAAAGTTCTGAACCGTGAGCCTGAAAGTGACACAGAGCCAGGTTACGACCTAAAGGTGCCCATGAGCGAGCTTGCATGTGCTGTTTTGGTTTTTTTTTTTTCTTTGTAGGCAATCAAAATTTTCACAAAAATTTTTTTTCGGAATGACTTAGTTCTGCAACTTTTTTGAGACAGTCAAATCACATTTTCAAATTGTTGTCCACCTCAGGCAAGGCACATTCGGACTCGCTTTTCAAAGTTTCTAATGACTTTCGGAAAAACATCCTGTGAGATTGCAGATGCATGCAACTGAATTGCAGCCTTCAGCGACTGCATATTCCCAGGTCGAGTGGCATAAACATTAATCTTTAGGTGACCCCTAAGAAAAAATTCCAATGGGGTCAGATCAGGGGAACTTGCTGGCCACTCCATTGCACCTCCTCTGCCGATCCATCGCCCCGGAAAGTTCATGTGAAGGAAATTATGAAATCTGTCATTATGGACTGGTGCACTGTCGTGTTGATACCAGAGAGGCAACTGAGGAATGAAGTGTACCATTTGCTGTTGATGTTGTGGGATCTGACGAATCTCGGTTCATGATATTCACCTGGAGCATCGCATGGTAACTGGCACCATTAACAGTTCGAGGATTTCCTGGAAGATGGTGTGCTTAAAGAAGGTATCATCTGGATAAATTCTGTTGCAGATATCTTTATAGAAGTTCACTCGCTGTTCGAAATCTGCTGCGTTGAGGTCTTGAACTTTACAGAATGTGTATGGTTTCAAGCGGTGCTCCTTCAAGATATTGTGGACTGATGTTTTTCACTTGTTTAAAATTGATCCCCCCTTTCTGGTGGACTGCGGGTGTTGCTGAAACTCTGCAAGGACCCTCTGACCCTCCAAAGGAGACGTTGCAGTTTTTGGCCTTCCTTGACTCCACACATTGTCAACACTTCCATGTTGTAGGAACTTCACATGGAGGTTGTAAATAGACGTTTTGGCAGGCGGAGCCCCTCCATATTTTACCTGGAACCTCTGCTGAACGGAGGACGGACTTCCTGTAGCTAAATGTATACGAGGGGGCTTCAAAAAGTTCGTGGAAAATGTGTAGCTTGAAAAGAATATATGCCTGGATTTCAATCTCTTTGCACAAAAAGAAACTCTTACTAACGTGTTATAACATGCCTGAACAGGAGCCGACTTTAGACATTAGGAAGGAGAAGACGTCAGTTTGAAGAGAGCCCCCATTAGAGCAACATGAATTCTGCTAAAATCGAAGCAAGAACAAACATCAAATTCATGGTGAAGCTTGGGTGGAAGAATGGTGAAATCATTGATGCTTTAGGAAAAGTAGCTGGTATCATCGCTTACAAAAGTGTCTTGAACTTGATGGAGCTTATGTTGAGAAATAAAGTTTATATCTTTCACTGTTATTTTTTAATGTCATTTTTCCACGAACTTTTTGAAGCCCCCTCGTATAGACGATCATGACTGATTGACGCTAATTCTAACCATGTTCTAGAGAAGTTAGAAATCTGAAACTTGGTGCACATGTACCTTTTGGGATGCAGAATTCAGAAAATATCCGACTTTGGAGGTACAAGCCCTGGGGGTACCCATTTTGGGGTGAGATGTTTCCAATGATATATATTTGCTTCAGTGAAACGATGAGACATGGAAAGCAGAAACTTGCCATGGACGTGCCTACTGACAAGGGACACTACCCAAGTGATAATTTCAGATTTTCACCAAACTTTGGTCATTGAAAGGGCTCTCTAAACCAAGTCAAACGGCACCAAAACTTGCGGCTGAGAAACAGGTTTAGGCTCATAACTCAGGATTATTATTGTCGCGGCCCTACTTTCATTGACTGTAACTTTTCAAGGGAAAGTCATATTCAGGTGATATTTGACAGAGGTTCATGAGTCTAGGAGGTTTTTTTCCCATGCCACAAGATGGCGCTGCATGCCGATAGAGAACGCTGATGTCGACAGCATCGCCACCTACCTACTTGCTATGTCATTTTTAAGGCATTGGAAAAAATTTAGTTCAGGCCTATGAATCTCTCTGCCAATTATCAGCTGCATCCGAGAGTTCTTCCAAAGATATGGTCAAAGTTGGATTTTTACGTAACAATTGAACTTTTTTTTTTAGTCATACCTTTTTTTAGAAATAGATGCAGCTGATGTTTGACAGATGTTCTTGTGTTTCTGACCTATTCGTTCCCTTGCCCGGCACATTTTTATACATAATGACAGAGGGCACAGTGATTGCATACACAAAGGTGAAATGTGAAGGAGCACGAGGACTCTGTTTACATAGTTTCTATGTTGGTAATACCCCTATTGGCACATAACATTGAAACAACATGGATTCAACGTTGACACAACATTCACACGTTGAACCAACGTTGAATCAATGTTATGTGCAACTAGGGACGTAGTAAAAGCACATGAACATGAGACCTTAAAGCACTGAGTTTCACCATCTCTTGGTGGGAGGGAAGTGAATGCTATATGTATTCCTTTTTTTGTAGGCAATTCCTATTCTCCGTCTCTTACCTTTGCATATGCCACCACAACGCCACCTGTCAACATGTAGAACCAAGTGCTAGGTAAGGGATGAATGGACTTAAGAACATCTCTGTCAAACATTAGCTGCATCTGACTAGGTTGGTGGCGCTGCTGTCGACATCAGCGCCATCTTGTGGCATGGGAAAAAGCCTCCTTGATTTCATGAACCTCTCTGTCAAGTATCACCTGAATATGACTTTCCCTTGAAAAGTTATAATCAATGAAAGTAGGGCTGTGACTAATAATCCTGTATCACTGAAAATTGAGAGAGTCAGTTATGAGCCTAAACCTGTTTCTCAGCCGCAAGTTTTGGTGCCGTTTGACTTGGTTTTGAGAGCCCTTTCAATGACTAAAGTTTGGTAAAAATCTGAAATTATCGCTTGGGTAGTGTCCCTTATGAGACACAAATTTCAGATGCATGCCCTGGGCGTATACTTTTGGGGGGTGACGTTTTCAAACAATTTTTTTTTGTCATAGCGAATTTGCCAGAGATAGGTGAAACTTGATGCATAAGTACCTTTTGAGAAACTGAATTCAGAAATATTCAGGCTTCGGAGGTAAATGCCCTGGGGGCACAAATTTCAGAAAGAGATATTTTGAAATATTTTTTTTTTTTGCCTTCAGTCACACGGATAAACATGGAAAACTGAAGTGTGACATGGACGTACCTAGAGACTCTGAGTTCAGAAAAATGTCAAGTTTTGGATACATGTCCTGGGGGCGTATTTTTTTTTGTAAAGGTTCTTTTTCCGGAAACTTTTCTGATTCAACGAAGGAGAGATCTTGGAGCAGAAGTACCTGTTCGATTGCTGAGTAGATGTCCTACTTTTCAAATATGACCCATCGGGGCAGATTATGAAGAGATTTGAAGTTAGGCACGCAAGAAACAATGTGAATAATTATTCCGATGAAAATATCGGTTTGTTCTCTCTCCATACACATTCCAACATACTTTTAGTAGGTTTTACCACTTTGAAAATGAATTATCGAATGAAACATCCTGGTAATGGAGCGCCGAAGGCATGACAATAGCGACTTTGCCCGAACTGGATAGTATGCGTATAAAACACGAAACAGGTATGACATTGCAATTTATTGTGGGGGAAATTGAAAGCCTGGATATTCATAAACAATCCGCGAACCCTTAGGCAAAGTAAACATTACCGACACAGATGCTGCAATTGACAGAAGCTGACTGCAAGTGGCAGGACTCCTAATAACGTTCCGACACACATGAGATGACAGAAGTGCATGGAAACACGGGACGGCACTTTCTGTTTAAACTATGAACATATTATTCGCACAAGTGAAAATTGAGTGTGAGTGAACGGATATTCTTTTGCGTGAAACATTAGCCATTGTGGTAGCCAGCGTGTCAAGTAATAGTTCGACATCACACCATCACATTCGTATGCATCGAAAATTTTCAACCAGACCAGTTAATGGCAATGGATCAGTAGCTTCTGTGGAATCAGAAGTGTCTTGGACCATCTGTGCTCTAGCCGGG